GTCCTTGGAGAGAAAGGCCTTTTGGCACACTACATGGTAAAGCTACAGATTTGACATACTTTTATAATGTCTGCTTTGGCAAGAACACAAAAACCCCACACAAAAGCATGGTACGTCCTCCCAGACAGGGGTGTAGGGGGTGTTTTACTCTTGTGAGCATTTACTTTCAAACGCTCTTACTTCAGAGACTATTTTGATCGGTTACTTTAGACTAACAAATTCTCTTTTGCTATATGAACAGTTTGACAGTCAGACTACAATTCTCCTCACAGCCCTTTCTAACAAGAGAAAATCTTTGGCTGAGGTCCAGCAACAGCCTTAAATTTGTCACATCCTATTTTTGATGAATGATCTGCAGCAGTTTTAAGATCATAAAGTGCTTTGAAAGTGAAAAGAAAAATTTCACAAGTAGTAAGCTTTCACTTTCTTTATAAAGGCATTTAAACTAAATTTGCTAGGAGATTCTTTCTACTTCTGCATCTCAAAAACCCCGCACAAAACAACCTTCTGGCTGAGATTAAAAACACAGGAAACAGTTGCAATGCACTTCTCTACAATGCCTCTATAGCATAAAACTGGCTATCTAGGAGTGATAAAGTGAGCTGAAGCAGTTATTCTTCTGTGAAAGAAACAATACAATCTACCTAATCTATCTAATTGTAATTTACTACCTCAGCTTCTATGAAGTTTCAGAATTACAAAATGCCATGACAAGTACAAAAATCACAATCTTATAAAATGTTTTTTCCGTCCTGTACACAAAGATTAAAAATAGGAAGAGAAATCCAGTAAAACAGCAGTATTTCATAAAAAACTTTTAATTATCCACATCATGTAACAATTACAATGCATGAGAGAAGACCATGCACCAGAGATACAAAACTTATTAGTTTTACTTTGAGCCAGTATTTTCCCTAAAATATTTCATTTTTACAATAAAACCATGGTTATTTTTCCCTCTTTTTCTGAAAGTAAATGTGTGGGAGTTGGTGAGAAGCATTAGACTTGCAAAGTTCCTGTGCTTGACATACTTATACCTGACACACACAATATAGATTTCTCACTAGATAAATTCCATGTACTGTCACTGTAAAAACACAGACTCTTGTTCTTTCTATTCTAGTTTGCAGCTTCTCACTTTTGGTGAGGAGGCTTCAGGCTCCAAAGCTGCATCCCTACAAAGAGGAAATCAGGGGACAGGAGGCCTTTAAGGATGAACAAGGAGCTCCTGGACAAACTAAACACAGACAGCTTCCAGAGGGTGGAAGCAGGGAAACATGGCCTGGAAGGAATGCAGAGGAACTGCCTGAACAGCCAAGCATCAGGTTAGGAAAGCTAAAGCCCTGCAGAAGTAAATTTGGCCAAGGACACCAAGGACAACAAGAAAAGCTTTTATAGGTACACTCGCAATAAAAGAAAGATGGGGAAAATATGTGTCCTCTCAGAAAGAGGAATTCCCACCTTCCATTGAAACACCAATCATTATGCAAAAAAATTGTTTGGTGTGGTCTTCTCCTAAGGAAATATATTTTTAATAAGAAATATTCATCTTCATGCAGACAGTCAGAGTTGCTATCCTGCTTCCTACTTCACAGTTCTCAAAAAAAAAGACATTACATTTACTTAAGTATTAAAAATCCTGAAGTTTCCAAGTAAGACATAAGAATTCCACAAAGAAAAGTACAAAAACCACCTTTAAATACAACTGAATACTGGAATTATATAATGTACCAAAGACTTCATGTGCCAAAAATACACAATGCTGAGCACAATCATTCTTTCCAAACAATCTTGAGGGGAAAGGACGGTGAGAGCACAGCAAGCTGATCCAGTGGTCATTTCCAGTTCGGTTCACACATTTCACTGCGATTTGGCAAACTTCTGCCTGGACTGGAATTAAAATTGTTTGCTTTTTCAGCTTCTTTGGTTTCAATGAAATCTTTCTCTTTGTACCTTAAGTGTACAAAATATTCCCCAGATGATCCTGAAGCTTACACTTCTACGAATCAAATCTTAGCATCTGGATAGGATAATTGAGGCAGGAAGGGACCTTGGGTGTTGCTGCTGGTGCTGAATAGATCACACGGACACAGGTCGAGGTGTGGTGAAAAGAAGAGAGAGATTATTTTTCCTCCCAGGATTTATAGGCTTCTGACCACGGCTTCTGACCAGGGATTGGATGGTCAGGATAACACTTTCTCACTGCACTGGCCATGAGAGATGCCCATCACAAGACGTGTAACAGAAAGAATGTACACATATCTATGTTTACAGTTACTGTCCTGGGAAAGTCTTTAGAAAACTATGTTAGCAAGCTCAGAAGCTGAGTTTTCAGGGTGACACTTGGGAGTTCTCTAGTCCAACCTCCTGCTCAAAGACAGGCCAGGTGTGAGGTCAGACCAGGTTCTTCATGGTTTTGAAGCAGTTCAGTCTTGAAAACCTCCAAGGATGGAGAAGGACATCTCTTGAGTGACCTGCTGTGATTCTTGACTCCTCATGGTGAACAGGTTCTCCATATTCACAAGAATGTCTCTTGATTCAGCTTGTTGCTGCACCTTGTCCTGCCGTGCATCACTTGGCAAGCCTGGATGCCTCATCCCAGGGAACTCCTATGGAAGGCCGCTGCTCAGGTTCCCTGGAGCCTCCTCCAGGCTGACCCAGCCCAGAACTCCTGTCTCCTCATACTGAAGTGCTTCAGCTCACTCACCATCTTTGAGGCCCTCCATTGAACTTGGCCCGGTTTATTGGTGTCTTTCGTGGAATCCAGAACAGATTTTTCCCTTCTGCAGTTGACTGTGAACTTTGAAAAACGTTAAAATTTCAGTTGATACTTCACAGTCACATGGCAAACATCCTTTGCTACTTTCTCACTTTTCCAATTTGCTCCCCCATCCCACCAGGGCTGAGGGAGCGGGTGGCTGCGTGGGGGTTAATCCATGACAGCTACACAAATTCTTGAATAACAAAATAAAGGCAAGTTTTACCATCACACAAACCAGACAATCCCCCACACTAGGACAATTACAGATTTGGAGCAATTCTTTCTCCTCAAGACCAAGGCAGAAGATTGATACCAGAATTAGGAGCATTTTAAGCATCAACAGCACTATTATAGAAACAGCTGCCTTAGTTGATTTTGCAATCAATTAAATGGGGAGAAATAGTTTTAAACCTGACTGATAATTTGCTTCTTATACAATTTTTTATGCATTTTGCTTTTGTCAACAGTAGCTGCTTTTTGCCATGTAACATACATTCCCTGACTGCAAGAAAAAGAAAAGTTAATCTGTACTCTTAGGGTTTGGGCATGGAACAGACAGCCAAAAAGTGGACACAGACTACATGGAGGTTTCTAGGTGTGTATTTCTGGAATGATGATTTGCCTGGGATACAACTGTTAAATAGAGCTGATGCTGCAGAGAACCAGACAACCTTCATTCAGAACAGAAGGGGAAAATATTTGGGTATACACAAATCTAAGGCTTCTGAAAATAAAGTATACCACTAAAGTATAAAAAAATTGGTTGGGAAAAAATCTCTTAAAAGATTCTTCAGAGAGAGTAACTTCAAAATATATGACCAGTAAAAACAATTATTAAAACTCTTCTTTTACTCCCTAAAAAGAATTTCTGAAGATTTTGCACCTATAAGTGCATACAACAATCCTAAAAACACAACTAAGTGAAACTCCCACAGAATCAGTTGGTTTATAGAACAAAATGTATACTAAATTCTCCAATTAAAAACCTGTAAAGTAGTTTCCGTGCTTTTTAACCCACCTTCCCACAGCAGGGAATTAATCCCTGCAGGGGGATGCAAACAAACTTCAAAGAGAAGATTATACCCAGACACTAGTACTGTACAATGTAATGTTTATGGTCAAATTTGTTCAGATTTTCTGGCACTAGAATCCAGGTCAGATGTGCAGAAACAAAGACCAGTTATTAAAAGGGCTCCTGCAGTTCCATCAAATAGTTGTGATGGCACAGAGCAGTAGGACAAGCCAAAACTGTATTCCAGTTACAACTCCTATGGAGGCTTTGGCAGGGAAGGAAGGAGTTGCAGCTATTTGACTTTCACAGACTGTAACAAATACAGATATAAAAGGAAGTAAGAGGCTTTCCAGTCAATAAAATACAAAAATCCCTTCTATTGGTTTATTACACCATATCTACAATGCACACGTGATTGTTTATTAAAAGACAAAAAAACACTACTTCAGTATATGCTGCCTAATCATAATTATTTCATTTTGCCAAACTTCCTTTTTGTACCATTCTAGAGACTGAACTTTCATAAAAGTATCTTGAGCTAAATTTTTGGCATTATGAATTTCAACCTTTGCTTTTCCTGCTTATTTGATCAAGTTCCTCAGGTGAGATAAAAGTGCAATCAAAACTTCCCAAATGTACTTACATGTTGGTTTCAATGGTTATGGGACTTCTCTACCATAAACATAGGAATGCTTACAAAAAATCATATTACAGAAAAATACTTGTGTAATTATGACTTGGTAACAGTGGTAAAAACAGTTAACCAAATCATAATCTGCATCCATGCCTAGTTTCCAGATAAAGTCATTTGATCAAAGCAAGAATTCTGGGAGCAGATAAAAATACTTCTGTAGAAAAGTAAGAAAGAGGAACTAAAAACAAATTCCAAAAAAGATGTTTTAAGAGTATTTTTGGTTTAAAACTACCCTTTTTTTACATGAGCAGCCATCTGAGAAAACACTTCTTCAACCTAATCAAGTAAAGAATTATTTCTATTTTAAAAGACAAAAAGACAAAACAGTCAAAGAAACCTGAAAATTGTCCACAATCAGGTACAGAAACACAAATTTCTCATTTTTAGTCCTAACTGTAAAAGATTCCACAGAACCAGTAATTAAGATACTTTTAAAAGCTAAAACAGCATAATGTTAAATATTTTTCACAAAATATGGTTCTTAATAATAGTTTTAGCCAATAAATAGGTAGGACTATTGTGCAAAACAGTACCTTTCCCAATGCAACTGATTCCTGAGTGGGTCACTTCTGCATACACCTCAAAGGTAGTTTCTGGATTTTGTCTGAAACAAAAGGAAGGTATTTAGCACACTAAGAATTTGGTTGAAGTGCATTTGCGATGAGGCAGTTAGAAAGGGTTTTCAGCATGCACAAAGTACAATGACAACTAGAGAATCTCCATTTCTCGGTTTACAGCCTGGGATGATTTCTCATCAGACCTTTGTAACGTGCTAAATACAGAGATTTTTTCAGGGAAAAGAAGGTTTTGGAAATTTTTCACCAAACTGAAAAGTCACATTGTCCCAACACTGAACAAACAGCACCCAGATTCACATTTTCATTACTGTGACCCTTGAGTTCAACTTCATGACATCTATTTGCCCAGGAAAAGGGGGGAAAAAAGTATCTGCAGTCAAGAGGAGGCAAAATCACTTTCTGCACACACTACTGAAAAACTTAAGAGGCTGTATTTAGGATGAAGACAGTGCCCCTTTTTAATACCTGTCAAAATATTTCTACCTCTTTGTCAAAAAAGGCCATGGTGGTGAATATTACAAATGCACAAGGTTTGGTCTCATGAGACTCCAGAGTCTTAAATCCAGAAATTTGCCAGATGCATAATAAGTGTGACAGTCAAAGACCATAACAAATTGAGCTACAAGACGTAAATGATGCTTGAGGAAAGAGATTTACTTTGCTCAAGAGTTATAAATATACCAGTAGTAAAAGTAAAAAGTTAATGATACTACTTCAAAACAAACAAACAAACCATTTAGTGTATATTTTCAGTTCTTACTAATTTAACTCTCTAAGTGATGCTCTGGAATTACATGTCATAATGAGCATGTAAAGACAGCAGGTGATTATAAAAGAAAGAATATTTTCAGTTAACTCCTGACTAACAATTTTAGCTACTCCAGATATTTTTTCCTAAGATTAAAGAGACTGTAATAATGAAATAAGAATTTTGCAGGTCTAAATATGTGTCATTTTATTCTTAGACTTTCTGGTTAAAATCAAGAATCAAAATTGCATAATTACTGTTCCAAATTTATGGCTGCTTGTATAGTGATAATATTGTCTCTTATGTGTTAATGCAAACTAACATTAGAAAATTTCTGTGGTATAATTTACTTGTGAAGTTTGTAACTTCCTTACAGCTAAGGACAAAAATAATGACAAAACCCATAAATATACATGCTAGAATTCCTAACTGAATGATAATTTAAAAAAATTAAACTCATCTTACCCAACATTTCAAACCAAACATACAAGCATGTCAAGGAGTTGAGCTTAACTCTTCAGAGAATTTCTATTATTTTTAATCCGACTTTAACACCAAAAGGATTAAGGAAAACATTTCTAACCATGCCACAGGCCCACTTAGCCTAACTCAAGTGGCTCTAAGCCAAACCCCACACCTATTTAAACTGACAGAAAAGCTCCCATTGCTTTCAGTAGCACAGGATCACACTCCTCAGTTTTACAGAGCACCTCTCAGGAGCAACAATGGTTCACAACTCAATTAATGGTAATTTAATTTGCCACCAGTTCCCAAATGATTTGTCTTAAGTAGCTGTTTTTTCAGAAAACTACACTCATAAGTTATGAGAAATCCGAAGTCAGCTATTATTGTGCAATATAAACCAAACTTGCATAATTCTCGCTGTGCTACTCAAGTTGCAGCACATAACTGGCAGCTACTGGGGTTTAGCTCCATTCCGACAGTCCCGGTATGGAGTGAGGATGGAATGATACCCACAGAGCACCACAAATGGATTTTTCCTTTCCTACTCATTGCTGGGCAGCCTTATCATACCCTCCTTGTTTGTGTTTTTATTTTTAGCACCCGGTTTCCTTAATTAAAAGTTAATAAACTTTTTATTTTTACAGCTAATGGTTAAAACAACAAACACCTTTTTAGTATTATGTTAGAACCCATGTTCAAATTCTTAAGTGAAAGCACTGTGTAACACAGCTGGCAAGAGCACAGACTATATTCCAAAACTTTCAGACAAAAAGACATCACATTTTGTATTTTAATTTTCCATGACAAACGTCCATTTATTTCTATGAACAATGAAATTAAAGTAGGCTTCCCAAGTGAGAAATTCAGTATTAAAGGCTGCATTCAACAACCAACACCTCAGTATGAGAATGAAGTCATTGTTGGATTGTGGATATTTTAAAACTTTTCAGAGGAATTAAGGAAACAAGTCACTATAAGACTTCATACAGTTTGCAAATACAACATAAACATGATCAGAAATGTGTATTCTGTGGTCAAACATCACCTGTGCATTGTACAGAAACCCCAACCCCTGCAATCCTCCACAGCACAAGAGTCATAAACACACACACCAAGTTTTCCCTCTTCCCAAAATTCACTTACAGACCCATGGTCACTTATCAAGTGAACAATAAGATGCAATTAAAACAAAATACATAGGACACAGAGGTACAAAAATACATAGTACCTCATTTATTTGAGAACTAGGTAATTTCAGAAGGAAATGCAATACTTCTTCAAAAACACAAACTTAGGACGGAGCTGTATGAGAAATGTGATAAATGCTAGTTGTATGAATTATTTCAAATCTCTGATGTAGAAATAACATCTGTTTCAAAGCAATCAATATGAAATTCAATCTAACACTGAAATAAGATATTTATGTACATTTTATGATCAAAAATGGTCATTTTAACCAATCCGTAAGAGATTTATTCAGAATAAAATTAAATCAAGCCCTTCTCTGAAGCTGGATGGCTGGAAGTACATACTTTACATATCTACAGCCTATTTCAATTTTGTGTAGGAGCACTTTTTGTACACATGCAATAGCACTCATGACAGAAACTGAGGCATAAGAGAAGAGTATGGCACTGACTGATAATTAGTTGTCTTGTAACAAGTCTTAGCTGCTCAACTCTTGTAGAAAATAAATTATTAGCAGAAACCTGTAATCACTAATTCAATTCAGAAACTACAGCTGAAACCTTCATTAATTTCTATATATTTAACTTTTTTTGCCTTTTATTCCCTAGGTAGATAATATTTCATCTTAGTATATAACAAACATTCTGTTAAATCTCTGAAAGCTTTCCCAGATGTACACTTGGCATCTATTGTGTCACCTCTGGAAAGGGACATGTCAACTGTTTTTCCAGTGCAATGCCATTCTGCTGATCAGATTGATATTGACACATTATTGAAGATAAATAAATAAGAAATCCTTTCTGTAACATGGAGTACAAAGGTTCCTTAGCAGTGACAGCAGCAGGCTAACCAGGCTCCTGTCCTACATCACCTGGCTGGCACAGAATGCCTGGCACGAGACGTGCCGGTGCCTGACAGAGGATTAACCCAGCACTGTAACCGAACACTCAATTTAGCTTTTTTTTTGCCTGCAGCTATACGGGAGCCAAAAGCTCACAGGACTGCTGGCAATTCCTTGATTTCTTTCACTTCAGTCTGATGCAGCTACTGATACCTTTCTCTAAGCAATCTTTCACTCAAATGATTCATTATTATACACCCATCAGAAATCTAACTGACAGCTATGCCCAGGTTTCATGCAGAGTCTATCACAGTGTGTGCAAGGGATCCTGTGCCAAGTGGTTTAATACCCCTCATAGTTATCAATCTACTGCAAGAAGCAAGGGATCTGACTGCTGGATGTTTACTGGGGCTCCAGCACATACTGGTGACACCTCTAAAGGTGCCTCACCCTACCCACTCACCAAACAGTTCTCTCATTCATACTTCCAACCTGTTCCTATAAGGAAGTTACTTACCAACATTAAAGTCTTTGCTGGAATAAACATCCAGCTCAGAAAGGCAGACCAGAAAAGCCTCTTACACAGACAGTCTCTCTCACTCTATATATTTTAAGACTGTTTTGAAATTTTGTCCTTGCACTGCTCGGGCACAGTGCTCTGTCCAAAGTGGAAAAAAGCAGTTTATTAAGTGTTGCTCAAGGCAAAGTTGCTTAATCACCCAGTGAACAAAATGCTTTCTCACAAAGTCCAAGAAGAATGAAAAGCAATGTTTACGTGGGTTTATTACCTCTGTTACTCTGGTGATTGGGAAAGACGTGGGCTTTATCTACAGTCCTGAAAGACAAGTTCACACTGAAAGACTTTACATAGGGAAAGTCCTTAACTCCACTGGCTGCACTAAGTATTTCTAACAACTACATCTTCCTGACACCAGGTTCTAGCTGGAGCTCACCTGCCTGATGACATTCTCATTTGGCAAAGTCTGCTCAAAGCAACTGAAGTCCAATCAGCAATCACAAACCCAAAGATAGCAAACACAGCTTGTAGATGCACAGTGCACACAAAAGAAGCTGCACTTAAAGTAAGCATCAATCTTCTAATAGATTCAAGATAAGGTCATCATAAGAAGTAATTTTGGATCATAATCTTGAAGTGACTGCTGCAGGGTCTGAAGGAGCAAGTTAGAGATACAGCCTGCTCTGCTGCCAAAATACCTACAGTTTTCAATTCTACTTGTATTTGACTGTAAGAGTTTAACCGGTTTCTCAGGCTTTAATTTCTCTGCATCAACAGTTGAGAACACATACTCCAAAAAGGTGAAAACTCATACTCACAGTGTGCTTAAGGAAGGAGTGAAGGAACGTTAATTCCTTTCTGGAACAAACCAATTGCCACAGTGCTATCATTACAAACACTCATTATCCGCTTACATTTTCCTAAAACACATGCCTGAAAAGACATGTTTTCATCTATCCAGCCTATGGGCTTGGGAACATGAAGATGTTTCATCACACAAACTATGTCCCCTCCAGTCTTGTATTCAAGTTAAACAAAAGAAGAGAAAAGTTAAAGCCCAATGTAATCCTGAAGAACACTGTGTTCAAGAAGGAAAAACAATTGCTCAACAGCACCTGCTGAATAAAACAGGATCTACCTGGGTCTCTCCACTCTATAACTCTTTCACACACAGAGATGTCAGCACTCCCTGCTTGGCAATAGCTTTATGACACCTCTACCTGTGTCTGAGAAACTGAATTTTCCTGGAATGGCACATGAACAAACTGAGACTTTTAATGTGACTATACTAACATACCAACAATGCTTACTGGTAAATCAACCGCCAATTTTATGAAAATTAAAAAAAAAACCAACAACATTGAAGGCACAGATCTGCAGGCCCAGCACATCAATCACTTGCATCACTCTTCTCCTTCCCCCAAACCCCTTAGCTAATGCACTTTGACTATCTCCCAGCCCGACTGTAGTCCTTCCGTCAGCACACTCTACCCTGGGCGAAGAAATTTGCACTACTTCGACCCGTCCACACCCTTGAAACAGGCGTCGGCTGTGCTGGCAATGAAGATGTTCCCAACACAGCACCCCCACCCTCCCTCAGGCCTGCACCGATAACATTGCACTGCCCTCCCCGCCTGGCCCTGAGAGCGGGAGGGGCAGCAGGCTTGGTGTGAGGCAGGGTCGGCTCTCGCCCCTCTCCTGGGGCAGGGCCGGAGGGTCCCGCCGGGGTCGCGGAGTTGGGAGTTGGGAGTTGGGCTCGGACGGCCCGTCCTGCCCGTCCCTCCGGCCCACGGGGCAGGGAGCGCTCTCTTCCCTTCCTTCTCCCTCTCCTCGCGCAACCCGAGGCCCGCGG